GCCAGCCTGCACTGGGCACTGGTGGTGCCAACCGCAGCCGATCCCTTGGATGAAACCGAATCCGCTGAGCCTGACACGCTGCTGCCAGCAGAGCCGGGCATACAGGCAGCACCCGAGAGGGGCATCACCACCATCCCCATCCACCTCGTGTCACCCAGCGAGGGGGCGACGGTGCCCATTGGCACAAACAGCAGCTCCTCCCCGGGGCCACGCTCAGCGACACCCCCAGCCCTCGGGGCCACCACCACCGGGTACAAGGGAGCCGGAGCCCGCCCTGTGCCCACCCATTGGGACTCGCAGCCATGGGGCACGGCGGAGCCGGTGCCCTGGGACCCCAGCGGGGTGATGGGCAAGTGCCTGCTGAGCATCCTGCTGCTGGCGCTGGTGGCCGCCACCTTCATGGTGTGCACGGCGGTGCTGGGGGCCCTGCTGTGGCGCCGGACGCGCACGGCGCGGCGCCGGCTCAGCCACACCGAGATGCTCTGCATCCCCTCGCTGACGCCCGACGGTGACGGCGCCGCCAACGGCCCCCGGCCCTCCCTGGTCCGGCCCCCGAGGATGCTGCTGGATGGGGGCCCCGAGGCTGATGGCGACAATCTGACTCTGAGCAGCTTCCTGCCCGAGCACGCCTGAGCCTCGGGACCGGGTCCTGCATCCCAGAGCATCCTGAGCCCCGGGACCGGGTCCTGCATCCCAGAGCATCCTGAGCCCCGGGACCGGGTCCTGCATCCCAGAGCATCCTCAGCTGCAGGACCGGGTCCTGCATCCCAGAGCATCCTGAGGCTCGGGACCGGGTCCTGCATCGCAGAGCATCCTGAGCCCCGGGACCGGGTCCTGCATCGCAGAGCATCCTGAGCCCCGGGACCGGGTCCTGCATCCCAGAGCATCCTGAGCCTCGGGACCGGGTCCTGCATCCCAGAGCATCCTCAGCTGCAGGACCGGGTCCTGCATCCCAGAGCATCCTGAGCCCCGGGACCGGGTCCTGCATCGCAGAGCATCCTGAGCCTCGGGACTGGGTCCTGCATCCCAGAGCATCCTCAGCTGCAGGACTGGGTCCTGCATCCCAGAGCATTCTGAGCCTCGGGACCGGGTCCTGCATCCCAGAGCATCCTCAGCTGCAGGACTGGGTCCTGCATCCCAGAGCATCCTCAGCCGTGGGACCGGGTCCTGCATCCCAGAGCATCCTCAGCCGTGGGACCGGGTCCTGCATCCCAGAGCATCCTTAGCTCCGTGAGTGGGCCCTGCATCCCAGAACATCCTATTTTAACATGGACCAGCATGGCGGGGAGCTGCTGTCCCCAGGATGAGCCCAGACCTTGAGGCCGACCCCATTAAAGCGTTGCCTGGACCTGATGGTCTATTCCTTGTGGGAACAGACCCCATCCTGCCCACATCCCTGCTGGAATCCCACTACTCCATCCTCCTCCCCCCGGCAGCAGCCCCAGGGAGCGGAAGTGAAACCCACATCCCACCCCATGCAGGGAGCAGACCCAGGGCTTGGGGACCACGGCCCTGGGGACCCAGCGTGGGGCTCGGCCTCGTGCCGCGGTGTGGGAGCGGAAAGGGTGGAGGTGCAGGGCGGAAATGCAGGGGGGGAGGACGGGATGGGGACGGGGGGTCGTGGTGTAACGTGTTCCTGCGCTGCGGTCGCCTGCAGCGGGGCGGGGGGGACGCCTCCGGTGCTGTCACTGCTCATCGGTGGCTCCGTGCGCTGCTCGTCCCCATGAGCAAGCGGTGCTCACAGGCTCTCAGCCTCCTAGGGAGGTGCTGGCCAGGGCTGGCCCTGCCTGTGGCTGGGAGGGATGGGGGAGAGTGAAGCCAAAGTGGCCACCGAGGGTCCCTCTGCCTTGCTGGTGCCTGGGGGCTGTGGGGCTTGGATTTGCTCCCAGGTCCCACCTCCCTCTCCTGTGTTGGTCACCCCTTGAGCCACCAACCTGATCCTTTCCTTGTGCCTGGTGCTGGGGGAGCCACCCAAGGGAGGAGAAATCAGCCAGGACTGTCCCTGTGCTGCCAGGCTCAGTGTCCCCGTGTCCCCATACCTACCCGTCCTGGTAAGGGATGCATCCCCCATTCCTGCATCCCCATGCTGCCTCAGTATCCCCATCCCTGCATCCCCATCCTGGCTCAGCGTCGCCATCCCCGCATCCCATCCCTGCTGTGGCCAGGCTCAGCATCCTCACTCTGCCTTCCCAGATTCAGCATCCCCATTCCTGCATCCCCATCCCCACATCCCCATTCCTGCATCCCCATCCCCACATCCCCATCCCCACCCGAGCACTCCCCTCCACCCTCGATGCTCACAGCTCACACAGAGCAGTGAGGCTCCTCCACACGCTCTCCAGGTCCCGCTGTGCCCCAAGCTGAGCCCTGGGTGCGCAGCCCCCTAAAGCCGCGTTCAGTGGTGGCCATCCCACATCCCCCGGCCCCATTCCCTGTTTACATTCCTGTTGTCCCGGGATTTGATCCATCTGGGGCTGAGCGGCCCCGCACCCTGCTGCAGATGCAAATGTTTATGGTGAATCATTGCGGGTGGGGGGGATCCGCAGCCGGTGGCTGGTTCCGGATGGGACATCCTGACCATGGGCGCCCTGCTCTGACCCCCCCCTCCCATGTGGGTGCCAGTGCCGTGCCAAAAGCTGCCGTAGGAGTTCATGGATCGCTTCTAACGGGCACAAAGGTTTCTGTGCTTAAACCTCCATGCACATGGTGCAGGCTGGGGAATGGGAGCCCACAGGGACCGCTGTCACGCAGAGGTGAAGGGATGCTCCCATCATCCAGCTTCACCCCCACAGGGGCTCATCCAGCCCCGGTCCAAGGTGGGGATGAGGCTGCTGGATCCGATGATGCGGATGGGTGCGTGTCAGAGGGATTGCTCCGCGCTCATCCAGCCCCCGGTCCAAGGTGGGGATGAGGCCGCTCAGGTGCCATCTGCTGCCACCTCGCTGCCAGGGCCGTGTCACAGCGGGTCCCTGGGCACCCGGGGCTGGGCATGGAGCAGGATCAGTCCCTGTAGGTGTCCCCCTGGCACGGCGCATCCCGGCGAAGCAAATTAGAAGCAGAGCAGGGCTGGGACGTCCCAAATTGCCGGTTTCGGGGCCGGGCCCTGCGGGACCCACGTTCCAGCGGCCCCAAATTACAGAGCGGGGCCGAGCCCTGCCCAGCGCCACGGGCAGAGCCCCCGCCCGCCGCAGGCTAAAACGGCAGCGGTAATGGTCGGGGTGCGCTGGCACCGGTGACCCCGCGGCTCCGGCACCGGCACAGCCCCGGGGCAGCGCGGCAGGGACCGGGAGCCGGGATGGGGACGGTGGGGACCATGGAGGAGGAGGGATGGGGAGCCTGGGCAGGGCGCGATGGAAACCGGGGATAAAGAGGGACGGGGACCCTCGAGATGGGAAGATGGGAACAGAGGAATAGGGACCTTGAGTAAGGAGGGATGGCAACTCTGGGCATAAAGGAATAGTAATCCTGGAGGAGGAAAGACGGGAAACCTGGATGAAGTGGGATGAGGACCCTGGACATGGAGGGATAGGGACTGTGGATGAGGTGGGATGGGGACCCTGGACATGGAGGGATAGGGACTGTGGATGAGATGGGATGGGGACCCTTCATAAGGAGGGATAGGGACTGTGGATGAGATGGGATGGGGACCCTGGATAAGGAGGGATAGGGACTGTGGATGAGGTGGGATGGGGACCCTGGATAAGGCGGGATAGGGACCGTGGATGAGATAGGATGGGGACCCTGGACATGGAGGGATAGGGACTATGGATGAGATGGGATGGCAACCCTGGATAAGGAGGGATAGGGACTGTGGATGAGATGGGATGGGGACCCTGGACATGGAGGGATAGGGACTGTGGATGAGATGGGATGGCAACCCTGGATGAGGAGGACTGAGGACCATGGACACAGAGGAATAGGGACCTTGAGCAAGGAGTGATGGGGACCCTGGGCACGGAATAATAGTGACCCTGGATGAGCAGGAGTGGGGACTGGCCAGGGTGGGATGGGTTCTGTGGACATGGAGGAATGGGGACCCTGGGCAAGGAGGCTCAGCCCAGCACCGGCATCGCTGGACACACAGAGGGGGAATCACGGCCCCATTGCCACCCGGGCTGCAGGAGCGCATCCGGCTGCCGCTGGCGCCGCTCCCGCCGCCGCTCTCCTTTCCCCCTTCCCTGCGAGATCCCAGCCCTGGCGGTTGGAAGCCGTTATTTCTGGGAGCCGCGATTCCCTTTGGCGCCGGCTCCCGGTGCCAGCGGCCGTGGGGACCGGCCCCGCCGTGCCCGCGGTCCCGGGGCGCTGGGGCTATGGCGGGGGGATCCGGCCCCGGTCCCCAAGGACAAACAGAGGCGAATAGCAGGAGGATGAGGTCACCCCGCGGCTGCAGCCTCTTGAGCAACTTCAGCCCTGAGGACACGGTGGGGGGCGCAGAGAGAGGACAGCGCCGGACCCCGGCGTGGAACCGTCCCATGGGGTGGTTTTCTGCACCCCCTGCACCCCGAGGGGGCTGTTCCGGAGCATTTCCAGGCTGGGATGTTTAGGAAAGGGTCTGGAATCAAGGAGGGGGTTCCAAGCCCTGTTTGCCCCCACATCACACTGACAGCAAGACACCAAGCCAGAACCCCCCCTGCCAGACCTCGGGTGCTGCGTGCCCAGGCAGGGTTTGGGGGTGCAGGGATGGATCCAGCTCTGTGCTGGGGTGATGAGGGGTAGAGGAGCACAGCAAAAGGCAGTGAGGTGGGGGCCATGCTTGCTCCCAGCATGGCATCACTGGGAGCAACGGCATTTTGGGGGTGCCAGGGAATGGGGCTTTGCAACCACCACCTTTGCAACACCCCCACCCCAAGGCTGTGACCCCCATCCCCACTCGCACCCTAAAAGTGGCCCCTTCCAGCGGTGCTGTGGGGATGATGGGGGGCACTGGGGCTCCCCCCTTTACTTGCAAGGCAAAAGCCCACGAAGCCCCCCCCCCCCCCCCAGCCCCAGCTGGGTTTCATCTGGGAGGGGGCCGGGGGCCGCTGCCCCTCCCCGGCCTCCCACATTCCCTCCCCAAACCAGCCCTAATGAGAACAAGCTGGGCCCGGGCAGCACAGGAAGGGGAGGAGGAGGAGGAGAAGGAGGCGGCTCCATCCCGGAGGCAGCCGGAGGGGTGCGAGGTGAGCGGGACAGACCCCGTCCTCTCGGCTCCCTCCCTCCTGCCCGCGCCGTGCCTGCGGACGAGGTGAGATCCCACCGGCAGCACAAGCCTTGGGGTGGCTCGGAAGCAGGGTGCGGGATGCTCCGTGCTTTGGGAGCTGGGGTGAGCGCTGGGCATGGTCCCTGCGCTGGGATGCTCGGCTCGGGGGGGTCTGTGTCTGGGCGATGTGAGAACTGTGGATTTCCTGAGTGTTCGGGGAGCAGAGGGAAGTGGGAATTGCCTGTGCCCGGCCAAGCTGAAGGCAGGGACGTGCTGTGGGTCTGGGAGTGCATGAGGACGGGATGGGGATGGAGGGGCGGCAACAGGCCCTGTGCTTGGCACTGATTTGGGCTTTGGGCAGCCCCTCTGTGGCTGTTAACATCTTGCTAACGGCAAGTTACTGCCTTCACCTTCCCGGGACCCCAGCGCAGCTGAGGGGCCCCTCTCTGCAATGGGGGAGGATGAAGGGGCTCATCCTGGCCCCCCAAACCCCTTGGTGCTGGTGCTGTAACCGCAGGGAGCCCAGAGCCTGCAGTGAGCCCGGGGGGGGTTCCGGGGGCTCCTCCTGCCACTGCTGCCGCTTGTTTGCTCTGGTTTAACACAAACCAGACCCTGCAGCCGGGAAGGAGCCCAGGAGCCGATCCCCAGTGCTGGGATCCTTCCTGGTGGGCTTGGATTGGGCAAAACGGGAGGTGGTTGGGATTTAGGGGGCCTGAGGCTGGGGGCATTGTCCTGGGGAACCAGGTTGTGGGGCCAAGCTGGGGGGGGGGGGGTTAGGAATGGCTCGATGGCATTACGGGACGTGGCACAGCCGGAATGCGCTGCCATCCCTTGGGAGTGTGCCATGGTGGCCATGGGATGGTTGTACCCCACTTCCAAACCCCAATGGGGTGCAGGCTCATCCCAGCTCTTCGTTTTGGGCTGTGTGTGGGGACGGGAAACGCTTATCCCATGTCCTACAATGTGCACAGAGCAGAGCCAGCCCCATCCAGCACGGTGAGGGGATGGAGCTGTCCTGCACCCTGACGCTCGGGCCAGGGACCCCCTCTGCTCGCTGCACCCCAGCTCCAGATCTGCCCCTTTGCAATGGCTCTGGAGGATCCCAAGCCCCATCCCATCACTGGGATCAAACTGCCACCAGCCTATTTTTAGCCACGCTCCAGCTGGGAATCGTTTGTAACGGTCTGTGTTGGGATGAGCCGTTGGGAAATGCCTCTTGCACCGCGGCTGCCCCTCTGCAGCGCCGCCTGCCTCAGAGTTTCCACTGCAAACCTCCATGCGTCAGGAATTCTCTAACCGGCCGCTGTCTGAAGCCGGCTGTTGGCAGCGGCCCCCAGGCTTGAGCAATGCAACTCAGCTGCTTTCCATCTATTTTTGTAGTGCTCTGTTGCAAAACAAACGCAGCCCCTTGCTCGGCGGCGGGGAGAGGAGGCTGGGATGGAGGGCTGCGGTCCTTAAAGGAATCCCGATGGGTGAACAACGGAGCCGGGGCTCGGATGCTTGCGCCTGTCCCTCGCGATGGGTGCTCCGTGGGTCCTGCTCCATCGGGGTGTTAACGTGTCGCCCTCCCCTCTGCATCCCGCAGGACGCTGCATGAGCACCAGGGCCATGGCGATGGGTGCGTGGCTGATGCTGCTGCTGGTGGTGGTGGTGGTGGCGGCCCCGGCCCGCTCGGCAGCACCCCGGCACGTTGCGGTGCTGCCCGACGCCGGGGGCAGCGGGGATGGTGAGGAGGTCTCTGCTGCGCCACCCATCCTCTACGTGACACTGGGGACCGGCCCGACCGCGGGGGACGTGGTGGGGACCACGGTGACCAACAGCTCGGCGCCGCGCGGCGTGCTGGACAGGCTGGTGGCCTTCTTCAAGGAGTACCTGCTGCTGGTGGTGGTGGTGGGCTCGCTGGCCTTCGTCCTCCTCTTCATCATCTGCGCCGCCGTCATCGTCCGGCAGAAGCACAAGGCGTCCGCGTACTACCCCTCGTCCTTCCCTAAGAAGAAGTACGTGGATGAGCGGGACAAGGTGGGGGGACCCCGTGCCTTCAATGAGGTGCCTGATAAAGACCCCGGTGCTGAGGAGCAGCTCGACTGTGGGCAGCAGCTGCAGGCAGACATCCTCGCTGCGGCCCAGAGCCTCAAATCCCCCCCCAAGGCACCGCTGGCCAACGGGGGCCAGGGGGAGAAGAGCCCAGCCCATAAGGAGGAAGAGGAAGGAGGCAAGAAGATGAGGGATGAGCAGCCCCCTGCCCAAACCCCATGTGCTGAGGATGGAGCCCCCGATGCACCCCGGGATGGTCCCACAGCCCCTGCTGGCAACTAGGGCAGGGACCCGGTCCTGGGTGATCCCGGGATCCCCGTGGACACGCGATGGACATGGTGGTGCTTTGCTGCTCCGTGTGTACGTGGTGGCTCGAGGAAGCCCCGATGAAGTCCCCGCTCCCTTCCTGACCCCTCGGCAAAGCCCTGGGGGTCCCTGGTGCTTCTCCATCAGCCCCATTGCTCCAGCTGCCCAAGGGGCTTCCGTCCCCCCAGCTCCAGCTCGTTCCCCACCTTGAGCTCGCTCCTAAATGTTCTTTTACTACTTAGAAGCATCCTGATGTGATCCAGGAGCTGATCCCTCCGGATGGAGGTGTGGGACCATGGCTGGGGTGGGGGGGGGATCTGTGCAGCTCCCTCTGTACCCCCAAGGATCAGGGCAGGGACTCACCACGACCTTGGGCACCATGGGCTGGCTTTGCTGGTGGCTGTGGCGACCTTGGCCATCCTTGCCCACCTAAAGGGAGAGGATTTAGCGGTAAGGACCCATCCTTTGATCTCAGTGCCCCAGTGCTGTGACAGCCCAGAGCCCAGCTGGATCTTTGCCTCCTTAACCCCTTCAGCTAATAATAAAGACCTTTCCTACGCAGATTCTCCTCTCCTGTGTGTTTGTGCAGCTCGGCCAAGGCGCAGTCCCTGCCTCTGCTCCATCAGGGCTCTCCTTGGATCGTACTGGTGCTGGGGTGCAGCCGGTTGTGGCCCACGTGTGCCCCCCAGAGCCTGGAAGGCACCACCAGTGCTGTGGGGTGAAGCCCTGGGAGCCAGGGACGAGCTCTTATCACCCATGGTATCTGCCCCCTGACGTGCTGATTCTAGGAAACTCTTATCTCCTGCCCCACAGCCAAGGGTGGGGGAGCTGCGGCGCTTGGCACTGGGACAGGGCTGCAGCAGGGAGGGCAACGTGGGGTGAAGGAGGGGTTTCTGCCTCCAAAGCAGCACATTCCTGTGTCCCTGTATCCCACAGGGCAGCTGGGGATGTCCCCGATGTCCCAGCATCAGGATAACCCCTGTGGAAGGGTGTGTGTTTTGTCACAGGGCTCTCACAGGCACAATGAGCTGATTCTGCCCCAAAGTGGATGTGGGTGGCTGAAGTTTCCCTCATTTTCTTTTGGTTTTGGACTGGAAAACCACAGGACCGTTCCCAGGGAATGAGGCACATTCCTGCTGCAGGAGACAAGGCCAGCATAGGGTGGTGCTGAACTGAGGTAAGGACAGGCTTGTGAGAGCCAAAGCACAGCAGCAGCAGCCCCTGGCCTGTGCTGCACTGAAACAAAGCTGTGGACAGAGACAGCAAAATGAGCTACTCGTTATTACATGTGGTTTTCCATGTTTTTAGCTAAGATTTTATCAAATTCCAGCCTCGTTTAGGGTCGAAGGGACCTTGAAGCTCATCCACTTCCATCCCCTGCTATGGGCAGGGACACCTTCCACTAGAGCAGCTTGCTCCAAGCCCCTGCGTCCAACGTGGCCTTAAGCCGGTGGTTTTGGGGTGTTTTAATATCTCCAGAGCAGGTAAAGCCTTTAAATGTGTTTTCTGTTTGTTTTGGGAAGCTCTGGGAATGCTCCTCTGGACCACGAGCAGCCACCACCAGAAGGCAGAGCTGAGCACGCAGAGCAGGGTTTAACCCACAAATCCTTCAGCTTTCAAAGGCTGTGTGCTCGCAGGGGGACAGCTCAGACACTGGGAATAGGCTGGGAAAGCTCAGCAGGGATGTAAAGGCATTCCCAGAGGGCACAGACCGACCCTGCCAGCCCAGAGAAGAGGAACTTGCACTGAGATTGCGAAATGAAACTCAGACACCGCTGTAGTCTGTGGCAGATGAACCACCCCGTGTTTGTACACACAGACCTCCAGTTCTTACAGAAAGAATAAGACCAAGGCAACGTTTCCCATTAATTCCAGTGAAATATTAAGAAAACTCTACATCTTCCAAAGGAAAAAGTGCAGCCCTTCGAGTACCAGAACAGGAGGAATTTCCCTCCGGGGTGAGCAGCCTTCTTCACTCCCCCAAAGGGAGCTGTGACAGGAGAGAGGCTGCTGAACCCCCCACCTCCATCGTGCGAGCACAAGAGTGGCCGTCCACACACCTCCAGCGACACGTTGTGCGTAAGTTGTGCGTATCTTACAGCTTGCTTTAGTAGTGAGCAAGATCCTACTAATCTAAAGTAATTGCACTGCAAAAGGAAGTGGAACGAGAACAAGCTTCACAGTCAGTTCAGGCGTTGTTTGCTTTCTTCTCTGACACTTCTTTCTTTGAATCCTGCTTCAACTTGTAGTCGGCCAAGGCAGCCTTGATGGCATCTTCAGCCAGCACTAAAACCAAAACAAGTGTTTCAAGAACAGGAGAAAGGCATTTCAAACAAAATGTGCTGTAAGAACAGCACTGCAGGCAGCACCAGCCCGAACATGAACGTTCGCTATGAGTCTGCTGAGCTGCAGGCTCCACAAGACGGGAGAGAACTGAAAGCTCACAGAATGACCCCAAAACCACAAGTTCCCTCATGGCCACATTCAGAAGCCTTTGTTCTATTCCCCCAGTTTCCCTCTCAGACACAAGCCAGTGTTTGAACCCTCACCAGTTGGTCCTTTACTTACTGGAGCAGTGCAGTTTGACAGGAGGAAGGCAGAGCTCTTTAGCAATATCCGTGTTCTTGATTTTCAATGCTTCATCAACCTGAAATGCAATCAGTGAGTGGTCAGTGGCCAGGTAAGCTAGACCACCAGCTACAAAGGCATTTGCTCAGAGTGCTTTAATGCTTTAACACCTCAAAGCCAACAGAATCCACAAGGAAGAAGATCACAGAATCACAGAATAGTTAGGGTTGGAAAGGACCTTAAGATCATCCAGCTCCAACCCCCCTGCCACTGGCAGGGACGCCTCACACTAAACCATCTCACCCAAGGCTTCATCCAACCTGGCCTTGAAAAGATCCCAAGTAACAGTAGATATGCTGGAATCAAGGAACATCCCAGTGGTGGGAATGAAACAAAGAACACCAGTGTGAGACTGGTGCCAGATGGGCAGCTTTAAGTCTCTTTGTCTTCTATCGTAACAGGGAAGTGAATTTCTTGTCTGACAGAAAGAGAGCTCTAAAGATGATCTGTAATTACACTTTCTCCCAGCACCTGCAATCAGGGTGTTTCTCTTGTTGCGTAAGACATAAATGACTTCTGTGCAGATTAATGGGTATTCTTGGAAAAGGCAACTACTGCCCTAGAAGTCAGGCCACTGACAGGGTCACCAGTCCCTGCTTCCTAAGCTACTGCACGCAGTCAGTACTGGGATCCCCAGCCGCTGTTTCGTACAGCCCCAACACAGGCAGCTCCGAAGGCTTTCCCTGCTGTCATCCCTGCCTCCAGCAGGCACTTCCTCACCGTTTTCCCTTTGACCCACTCGGTTGCCAGTGAACTCGATGCAATCGCTGAGCCACAACCGAAGGTTTTGAAACGGGCGTCCACGATCCTCCCGTTCTCATCCACTTCCACCTGTGAGAGAGTTGATGGTACCTCAGCATCTAGCTCAGCACCACCGGGCACCCCAGAGAACGCCCCTCACTGACCCAGCGCCCTCGGGAGCCGGACGGGGCCTGCAGGGCCCCAGGGGACGTTTGAGGGCGGGGAGGGGAGGGCAAAGCCTCGCCGCACCCCTAAGGGGATAGGGCACGGAGCTGGACCCCACACCAGCCCTCGGTACCCCCGTCCCCGGTGCCAACCTGCAGCTTCATGACATCTCCACACGCCGGGGCGCCCACCAGGCCGGTGCCCACGTTCTTGGCGTTGCGGTCGAGGGAGCCGACATTGCGCGGGTTCTCGTAGTGATCCACCACCTGCGGGGACACCGCGTCAGCCAACGGCCCGTCCCTGGCTCCCCGTACATCCCCCCCCGCCCCGGGGCTCTGTGGCCCCTCGGCCCTCACCTTCTTGTGGTAGCCCAGCCTGGCCGCCTCCGCCCCGCGGCCCGGCCGCAGCAGCGCCGACCCCACCGCCCTCAGCGCCGCCATCTTGCACCTGGAAGGGGCGGGGCCCCGCCGCGCCCTTATATAGCCTCGCACGCGGAGGCCACGCCCCCCCCGCGCCGTGGCCACGCCTCTCACTCCCCGCTGCAGGCTCAGGCCTGGCGCTGCCGCGACTTCGCCCCTAGCGCGGTGGAAAGGAGGCGAACGCTAAAAACCTCCTAACAACGGACAGAGTGTTACGCTGCCGCTAAAGCGAGCGATAAACGCAGTTTCCAGTCGCGACGCCGGTTATTATCGCGACACTGTTCCTATCGCGACATCCGGTGCATGTGCGGAGCCGCGGCGGCCACGCTCAATATGGCGGAAGAGCGGCGCCGCGCACGCTGCAGACCTTCACGGAAGCCCCTTCACTGCCAGGCCCTGAGATGGCCGCGGCGCTGCCTGCGCCTCAGCCGGGAAGATGAGGGGTCCGGCCCCGTCGGTGCTCGCTGCAGCGCGGCCCCGGTGCGGAGCCCACCGCGGGATGGTGCGGGAGGAGGTTCGGTCCTCTTCTCGCAGCGCTCGCCCGGTGGCGGGGCGCGGCGGCGGGGCAGGCGCGGCGCGGACAGCCCCGTCGCACGGCGGAGAGCGGCTGGCTGCGGAGCGAGCTGCATAAGATGGCGGCGGCGGCGGCGGGAGCTGAGGCGGTGGTGGCGGAGGAGGAGGAGGAGAAGCGGGTGCCGGAGGGTGACCCCGAGTCGGGCGGGGACTCGGAGGATGAGGGAGACTCGGACTCGTCCGCTGATGGCGAAGACGAGGAGAAGGAGAACGAGGCCGAGATCCAGCGGCTGGAGGAGCAGGTGGGGCCGGCGGCGGCGTGGGGAGGGGGCGGTGGCGGCAGCAGCGCGGCCTCCGCCCGGGCCCAGCCCTCAGCCCGGGGGAAGCGGCGCTGGGCCGGGCCGGGGCCCGGCGCTCCTCACCCGCCCGCGTTGCTACGAGAGACGCGTCCGTCCGGGCGCTGTGGGGAGGGCTCGGTTCTCGGCCTCCCCTCCTGGGGACCCGGCGGGGGCTTCGCTTTGTGGCTGCCCGCTGGGACAGTGCGGCCGTAACGGGGGAGAACCCGCGGCTGCTGCTGGGGATTGGCGCTGGGGGTTGGCGAGGAGTTTGAAGTGGAAACTGAGCCCTTTGGGGCTGTTTTTAAAGGGAAGCCGGGGAGGAGAGCCCGCGTGGGTAGCTTGTGCTCATTGAGCACCCCGTAGCTAGCTGCCCTTTGTTTGCTGTATCACCTTTAAAGCAATGAACACACATTTAACACTGTTGGAAGATGCTTTTTTAAGTTCTCCACTTATGGTTTTGTTTCTGCAGCTGGCAGCTGCTCCAGGTGCTGGCATTTGCGCTGCTGAGCGCTAACCTTTAGAGCTTAGCGCCATAAGCTGAGCTCAAGGTTAACTTTAAAGCTGTGTTAAAGTGGGAGGGGTTTGTTATAAATGCTTGCTTGTGACCTGAAAGCATCCTGCGAACAACGGTGGAGTTTGGTGCAGCTCTCTGTAGGGAGGTGTTGCACAGCCGTGATGAGATCTGTGCTTCCCAAAAGAGAGTGTGAGGTTCTGTTCCGAGTGTTTCCAGGTTTATTTGCCACGGCCATCACTCAGCAGTGCTTTTAATGTAGTATTTTCTCTTGTTCCAAAGCTCTCCATCAATGCCTTTGACTATAACTGTCACTTGGACCTGATAAAGCTGCTCCGCCAGGAGGGAGAGCTGGTGAAGCTCCGAAGAGCTCGGCAGAAGATGAGTGAACTCTTCCCACTTACCGAAGGTACAGAGCGCTTTCTGCTTGTGTTGCACCCAGTGCAGCTTTAACGTCACCTGTGCACAATGCTGGTTCAGGACTGAGATCATGTATATTAGTGTCAGGCATCAACAACATTGTTCCAGCCCGGAGAAGCCTTAAAGAGCACATTTAGGACTCTTTGAATGGTGTTAATGGCCAGCATTGAGCTTGGTCTCTGGCAGATGAAGGGTAATGGATCTGTTGCAGGGATTTGAGTTTTTGCCACCTGCACCTGCCCTGTGTCCTGCCAGGGGCTGCTGCAGTGGTGTGGGACTGGAGGGAGGGTGTTTGTGCCCATCTAGTCCAGCCTCTGCTCTGCCTGTTTGCTGGGTGCTCCTGCCAGGATGTGACCTGCTGTAGCCCCAGGACGGGCGGACATCTGCCTGTGCTGCCTCTGCTGAAGGGGTAACACACCTGTGGGATGGCAGCACTGAACCCGCTCCCCTCACTCGGTGAGCGTGCCTCGAACCCAGACAAACTCCTGCCACAAGTGAGACTGCAGTCAAGCAGCAGAGAAAACACAGTGGGGGTGGATGCTGTGGTTGTGGGCCTTGAAGTGGGCGTGTGTTTACTCCTGTATGAGACAGGGTAAATATGGCAGAGGCTGCTCTGCCCCAGTGCTTTTAGCCTTGGCGAGGGAAGGTTTCGTTCTGTGCAGGTGGAAGCTTGCAGCCTCTGAAGCCATTGACTGTTTGTTGTCAAAGCTGTGTCTCTGGCTGCCTCTTGCATTGCTGCTATGCAGCCCAAAATGCTGATAAGTTGCTGCTTGCAACTTCTGCTCTCTTTAAATGGGAGTGTGCTTGTTTAGTGCCAGTTTGAAAAGGTCTCTACCAAACTCCTCTTTTAGATGAATTGTGAGGAGTTGTGAAGGCTGAAGCTGTGCTCTGCCTTGGCTGTCTCTTCATTTTTAACTCTTACTCTAAGCTCTCTTAAGAAAAACCTCAACAAATGGATTGAAGTTGTTCTTTCTGACCGCTGGTGATGGATCCTGAACTTCTTCCTTTCAGAGATCTGGCTGGACTGGTTGAAGGATGAGATAAAAATGGCTTCTGAAAGCTCGGAGCGAGAGAAGGTTTACGAGCTCTTTGAGAGAGCTGTGAAAGACTACATCTGTAAGTTGATGAGACGCTATCAAATGTATCGTGTTGCCTTCAGGTTCGGGCTTCCTTTTCCTAGGAAAGCTTTTTCCTTCTGTTATAATGCAGAAATTGGATCAAAACCAGTGTGACGTGATGCTCGGCTTTTATGAAGCGTCAGAGTTAAGGCCAGTCAAGGGCAATGCTTTAAGTGCCACTGCAGTCCTTAAAGTCTTCTGAGCCATTGTTATGAAAGGCTTTAAATGCATATTCTGCCCTCCTCTCATCTCTCAAAGCTGCAGGTGTTACTCTGTCTCAAGCAATGCTTTCTCTGCTACCCATTAGGAATTCTTTAGCTCTTTCTTTGAGGAAAGTGAATGCTTTCAAAAGGTTCATTTCTACTCCTGTCTCTGGGTTGGTTGGCAGTGTCTTTACTGCCACTTCCACTACGTGACAGCTCTTTCAGAGCAGCTTGTAATTACTGTCTGGGAGCCAGTGTTCTCGAAGCCATGCTGTGGGACCAGCTCTGATCATCCCTGGCAAAAGCCAGGGGAGTTCGTGGTGTCTCATCTCTTTGTCAGGAGCTTAAAACTTGCACCTTAAAGCACTGAGTAACTGTGTGCTCTTTGGGGATTGTGGTGAAGCCTGAAGAAACAGAGAGGGCTTGGTACCATCCAGGTAAATCCATTGCAGACAAAACGTCACATCAGAGCACTGACAGAGCTGGCCTCAGAGTGTTGGTGGTCCTTCAGGGAGAAGGAATGAAGAGCTGAGAGGTGATATCCTCTGGCTCTGCTCTATGGATTGTCCTTGGGGGTTGGAAGGTCTTCTGGAGCCTGAGGTGTGCAATCCTAACGTCTCTTGGTTGGATGGTCTCTACTTGGGGGTCCCTGAACCTGGTTTACCCAAGGACTGCCAGAGGCAGGAGAGGTGCCAGGCAGCTGATGCTGTTGTAGCACCTCCCTCTCACCTTCATGGTTATGCTGCTAAACCAGTTGCTGAACAGGTGAGTGCTGAAGTCTAGAAAGAGAATAAGGGCCTACTTCAGTCTGAGTTGTTAGTTCCAGCTCTGCACAATGTGCTCAAGAAGAGTGAAGTTGCTGTTGGGGGTGTGTGTGTCTTGATTCATCTCTCTCTGATGCAGCTTGTGTACCAGACGTGGCATACGGGAGTCAGTAGGGGTTGGTAGCAACTGCAAGAATGACTTTCTTCAGGAAAAAAAACCCTCTTATTTTGTTTCTCCTGACTTTGTTGAGGTCCTGAAATTTGGTTGGAATACGCCCAGTATTCAATTGGTGGCATTGGCCAGGAAGGAGGGATCGAGAGAGTTCGCTCCATCTTTGAGAGGGCACTGACTGCGGTGGGGCTGCATGTGACGAAGGGCACCGCGCTGTGGGAAGCCTACCGGGAGTTTGAGAATGCCATCCTGGAAACAGCACAGGTAAGGCCAGGCTCGTGCAAGAAACACGCTGTGCTGTGGTGTCTGAAGTGGGCTGGAGCCCCCATCCTCAGTCCCCACTGAGGAAAGAGGCTGTAATGTCACACAGTTGGTTTCCCTTCAGCTGCACAAACTGGCCCTTTGGTCTGAGAAGAGTGTTGTGTGTGTTTGGTTGAGTAATGGCTTTGTGTTTAAATAAGATCATAAAACCTCATATCCAGAAGCAAAGTGCCACTCTGCTGCTTTGGCTTGAACTGACAAGAAGAGCTCTGAATTGAGCAGCTTCATTCTTAAACAGCGTTGCTGCCAGCCAGTATTTCTGCACATGGCCATGTTTATGCTTCCAGACTGTTTTCTCCTTCAGCTTTTAACTCGTTCCTTATTTCGCACTCTTGGGGGCTTTTGGCTGATAGTGTGTTATCCCTGGGACGTTTGGTTCTGCTCTCTCTGCAAAAGATACCTTTACAAGATGACCAGACTGTGAAATACGGGTTTGTACTTTCCCATGTAAGAGAGGGAAGCTAAAAGATGTCCTTGCCCACAATAGGCTGGCTGTGTGTGTTCTTCAAGAATCAAGTCATTTGGAGCCCTGATCCCCCAACTCATAACCGATACCCCATAATATTCACCAGCTCTGCCTTGAGAGAACTGATTAAACTTCAGTCCTTTTGTTTGTAGCCAGCTCCTGGCAGTGTTCCATCTCCTGAGCAGCAGCAGATGCTCTGCAGCCAGCTTGAGAAGATCCACACGCTGTTCAGGCGCCAGCTGGGGATCCCACTGTTGGGTAAGAGC